TGTTTAGGCTTTGCAGATGTCACTTGGGGAAGTGGACAAGGGTGACCGCCTTGGGCATTTTCCAGCCTGTGGCAATGATGACACAGAGCCTGCATCTTCTGACTTGCATGAACTTGACATTTTTATAGCTCTTTTTTAGCTCAGTAGTTACCAGAAATAGTTTGTGGTTCAAAAGAAGAATATTTTCCCCCAGCTAGGAAGCACTCTGAAACACGTGCTCTGTGGAAGTGCGCCCACACTTCCCCCCCTGCGAGGAAGGCTGACATAACCCAGTACCAGAGGGGAATTTACCCTCCCCTTGCCGCCCACAGCCACATCTGGGCTCTTCCTGCTGCAGTAAGCTGTTCACCCAGGGCAGGCTGGACGAACGGGGCTGATCCTGGGGGCAGCACTCGCCTTTTCGCTGCTCCTCACTGCTCCAGAGTCCCTGGGTGTCCGCTCGCTTCTGCCTGGCACTGCAGGCTTGCGACTGGGGATCCCAGGCTTGCAGCTGCCTCACCCCGGTGTTGGGCTCGGGGGATGAAGCAGCTCAGAGATCCTGACATCGCCCTGGGTCACTTGAGCCAGGGACAAAGAGAAGCGAGCGGCTGAAAAGCAGCAGAGGGGACCCCTCGTTCGCACCTCTGCAGCGAGCCAGGGCTGAGCCTGGCGCTCCCCTCGCGGCTTGGCCAAGCCCGGCCCTGCGGTCCTACAAAGGAGGCTGCGCAAGGGACCGTAACTCCCCTTTCCAGTGCTCGGCTACCACCACGTCTAATCTCTGCCCTACAGAGCTGCAGCTCCATCCCCAGGCGTGACGTACTCCCAGTCCCTTGGCAGCAGAGAAGTGCCGATGGCACGGTCCGAGAGCAGCCGGGGCAGGAGGTGAGGAGGGTTTCCATCGGAGCACGGCGAGAAACCCCGTACTGCTGCAGCGCGGTGCTTTGCTCCGAGGCAGAGGGCAAGGCAGGTCACCCAGCGCTGATGGGGTGATGGCTGGAGCAGCCGGAGGGATTCCCGTCCTGCTGCATTGCGGCGGGTCCTGACTCAGCGCGAAGGAGTCGGTGTCCTTGGGCTAAAGGAGAGCAGGCTGTTGGGGTGGGAACTGCTCTTTGTCCACACCATCCTGGCTTCTTGAAATACATATTGACCATGAGAGTCGGGCAGGAGGGGGAGGGAAAATGAAAGTGTTACAGGCAAGAAGCTGATAAGTGTTATCTTGGATGCTCGTTTAGTTGGGTGATTTTTCCAGAGAAAGAGGTGCCTTTTCTGTGTATTCTTTTGTAATAAAAGACCTCAGTCCTGAGATGGAAGTGCCCGTGGGGCACTGTGGCTGAGCTCGGGGTCTTGGGACACCCTGTGCTGCCCTCGGAGCTTGTTGCCCCCGGAGCTTGCTGCCCTCCTCACCAGCCCAGCAAAACCCAGGGCACAGGCTGGAGGCTGCCATCAGCTGCCAGAAGGCAGCCAGCTCCGGTCCCTGGGCTCCCGGCTGAGCTGTGGCTCTGCTCACCGGCAGCTTCCCGTGGCTGGGGGCTCCACGGGAGTCCAGGTCCGACCAGGCACTGGCAGGGGCCGAAGCAGAGTCGTGTTTGGCCGAGTTCATCTCCCCGTGTCAACACACTGAGCGGTGCCAGAGCCCC